TGATCTTCATTCCTGTGTATGAGCCATGCGTAATTGCTTTGTGATGTCTTTATTGACGTATAAATAAATTTGTTATATGATAAACATCGATCGAAGCTAGTGTTATCCTTTACTATGTGGTCGAATTTTAGATCAACTCGAAATGGCGATAAGACGTCCAGTGCCAGCCGAGAACGACACTTGTCATCTCACTCAGATCGCGAACCCGCGGACCGGCAGGAATGGCGTGGCCATCACCACCACTATCATGGTGAGCTCGGTATACTTTTAGTTTCGTGCGTTTCGTCGTCCGGTTTATGTAGTGGTCTATTTTCAGGCAGGCACAGGAGTCGCGAGTACGATCATCATTATCGAGGTCATCACTCAAGGCACGGCCGTCGCCGCGAACGAGAACTGGAGAAGATTGAGAGCGTGCGCAAGCGAACTGGCATTGCGTTACCTGAATACTACAATCCGTCGAAGATCGACCCGGAAAGGTACGCGGAACAGACCAAGAAACGAAAGCTTCTGTGGCATGGCTCTGAAGAGAAGGTAGCGCTGCGCTTTTGTTTTTTTCCTTTAGTCAGGTACCCACATTTTATTTTACAGCTTTTATAAGTATGGAATTATGGCTTTTCTGCTTTTATTCGTATGTTTATAACAGTGCAAGTTGAAAGGATACCGCATATAGATTCATTGGACAGAACAGACTCACGGTGACATAGCCTGTTAAAGCTGTAATAGTTGTCGCAACCAAGCAGAAATATTAACCACTTGATATTGCATCGTTTTGGTAGTTCAGAGATTTCTGAGGGATATAGATGCCTCAACCAACGTCCATTATTTTACGAAGGAAAGAAATGCGTAGGTCGTATTGTTGTTTTTGACTCAGTTCGTTTTGTTAAGTGGTATCGGAGCAGATTCAGATGACCCGGTGTAGGGTACATGATTTTTTGTAAATATTTTCATAAATTGTGGAACAGATCAAGGCGTTAGGAACAAGGCGGTTGAATTAGAATGCGTAAAAGGCGTTTTCATCTCAGAAAATGCGGGCTAGCAGATGGTTCGAAACTTATGCTTCATCAAGGGTCGAAACTTCTTTATGTTAGGATGCTGCGATTCTCACATGACGTATTCTCTGTTATGTTTAATGAGTTTTACTCGTTGCGCTGACGTTCGCAAAGGTCATTCGTTTGTTTACAGTAAGATAGCACTATCTGCAGTTTGAGCAGCGGTATTTTGCCGTATTTCCTTATTTACAATCTCAACATCGTGAATTTTTTATGTTATTTCTTGGTGTCATTTGCCAGCATTGTCTAAGTTCAAGAGATGGGTCTTCATTCTCTGTTTGAAAGGTGGGTGGCATAAAGACATGCATGATCCTGCTAAGCGTTCTTTTAGTAATTAATACAGATTGCGACCTTTCAGCCTTTCCTTTCAGCTCTGTGTTGAGCGCATTCTTCTGTTAGTCGTATATGCCATGATCGCTAGGTTTGTTTTAGCCTTAACCTTCATTTCCTAATTAACCGGACGTTCGGTATTCGTGGCAGGTTTTCACATTGCTATATACGTTTTGCCGTATTTTGTTCTGATATGTTATCCATCACGTTGTGCACGAAATTGTTAGAGAGGACTCGGTTAAACTGCGCGGTAATGTAATATTTAAGTATGCTCCTCTTTGGACGAACGTGTTACACGTTGCCACCCCCCTAGTCCAGTTTTTCTAGTGCAGTTTGATTAAATTGAATAAATATATGGGTTAATTGTCTTGAGTTGCATCTTTTGCTGTTTAATTATATTGGATAGTCAGCTGTCATGTGGGTCACTGCGAAGCTCAGGCACAGGAGTCGTTCGTATCGAAGAACGTCAAAAGAAGTAAGGAAAGACAGTTTCAAACCATTGGGATGTCTGCCGTTCTTACACTTTCATGATTGAGAATCATCTGTACTTCCCTTATATGCAGCGATTATCTCTGTTTCTAAGCCATCAACCACGAGTGCCTTGTTTTAAAAGGCAGAGCCTATGCTGCAGTCATATGGCAGATATAGCGTGTATTCTCATGTTTCCTTCTTACAGAGTGGTTATCTACCTCAGAAGGAAGAAATGCGAGTGACCCAGACAATATTACCGTACCGTTCACCCATTCTAATAGGACCTCCGCAGAGTATCAAGTTGTTCCTGTTGTTCGCAAGTCAGTCACTTCCTTGTCATCAACAACTTGACTGGTTGTTCTTGAGCAACATGAGGTAACTTCCTTACTGAGAAAAATCGTGGTTTAAATAAAATCGATTCTTCTACAAATTCGAAACCGAAACCTCCGGAGAACATATATTTGATTAGACGATCGAGAAGATTACGATCTCTTTAATGATGATCTTTAACGATCGATGATTAATAATCTTTAATATTTACCTGAAGAGAACGCGATGAAATTTTTTGTTTTTTATGAATAATGGTGACAGTTGTACATGTGTATGAAAGAGGTGTAGCTCCAGTTGACCTAACGTGGCCTCAGTGCTGATATAGCTATGTTTGCAAGTTCGTCTCTGTCTGGTTAACGTTGCCCTCTGCTGCTCGGCGAATTCAGTCAGTTGATTCAATCTGATTTAAAGCTTTGAAATTCGTGTAAATCGAGTATAAAAATATGCCAAGCACAATATTCTCGAAAGTGCGTTGCAAACATGATATGGTTGAAAAATTTGTATATCTTATTTGTCTTAATTTATATATCTTGATCTTGTATTTTTTAAATTTGTTGTTAGCTTAGCTACTAACAGTTGATTTATGCATACTGTGATAATTTAGCAAAATTTTGTATCTTAAACATCCTCATGTTTTAAGTAGGTTTCGTCAATATCCTGGTAAATTAATCAGTACTTTTGATCTAAGCCATGCTTCTGGAAAAGTCCTCTGCTGTAATTATTTTACTTATTTAATTTAGCATTCAGTTAAGTTTTAATTTAATAATACGGGATTAAATGGTCCTTGAATTTACTACCTTTATCTGCGCGATGCCAGGTCGTTTTATCAGACGTTATATATCCATCTTGATTATGTTTTGAAGTTCAACAATAAATTAGCGCTTTTTTGAGTTTATAATTAATTAGTATTCTTTGCGTTCCATTTCCATTGATGTACATCATTTACGTGTCAGATACTATGCTTGTGCGACCGACCGCTGTGATCGCGGTGACCAAAAACTAGCTTTGGTGGTGGATCGATCGATCAGGTATCGTTTGCATAGACAGTCTGTGATGACGCCTTGCAACAGTAAAGGAGCTGATTTTTGACTGTCCTCTCTCTCAGCCTGGAAAATGCACCTGCGACACCACTGTCATGAGATGGCATTGCGTATACCTGCCGTCTTTTGCTCAGATTTGCAGGTACCGTCTTCTTTAGATAATACCGTATTTAAGGTCACAAATGAGTTTATTATTTCGCGACGAATTTGTTGTGACCGGTTTTATTCTAGTTAGCTTCTGAAGATTGTGTTTATTGGAAGAGAGGGTCATCATATTAACTGTAGCTGCCAAAGTATTTATTTTTGTTCTACAACAGGCAAAAACTCTCTTTTAGTATATGACTGCTAAGCAGCAGTTAGGAAAGTGGTTTTGCTGCTTATATTTTTAGCGAAACAAGGCTGTTATGAAATTTTTTTATTCATTAAGTAGACATTTTACTTAAACGCAGATGTAAACTAAATTGATATTTTACTTTATCTTTGATCATGTTTCAGCTTAACTTCATTTTCTTTTATTGACTTGATTTCGTCCTCTAAACATACCGCAAAAATTTTTTCCAACTAGTTGTAAAGTTCAGGTTTCAAGTCGTTCACGACCATGGCAGCAAAGAAGCAGCAGAGTCTTTTTGTTTATTTCGTAGTTTCTTGCAGTCACCTTAAGATTCCAGTTTCCTTTTTGCAAGCTGAGTCACCTTGTCAAGACAGGCTATTGTGAGAATATACCCATCATCTGACAGCTTTAAAGACGTATTCCAAAGAACGGAACGATTACTATCCTCTACTGAAAACGAGCAAATTGCTCAAACCTGATTCGCACGCTTGTTAAAAAAACGAAGTAAGAACTTGGTCAGCTACATGTTACAAACTTGCGGTTCGTACATCATACCCAAAAAAACTTATGCACTTGTGAAATTTCACAGACCAGCATTTCAGCTTAGAGTCGTTGTTCCTATGATGTGCTGTATTATATATTCGATCAGCAACCACCGGGATGGGATAGTATGAATAGTGGTCAACAAACTAAGGTATCGCATCCATAATTAGTGGCGTTATGAATAAGAGTTATAAGCGAAATACAGCGGAATGAACCACTGGTTATAGGTTCCTTGAATATAGTTGTCTTATGCAACAGTATGGATTTAAATTCCTTGCCTTAAATACTTTCGATGCTTTGAACAGCATGAGAACCTGGTAACGCTGATATAACATTCAACAAATTGAACACGGAACACCTTTTGATATTAGTCTTTTTTCTGACAATAATCATATTTGTTTTTTTTTTATAACGTTGTGGAAGCAATGATTCGAAATTGCGATGGGTTCGCTTTTATCTGTTACTTCAGCTGAGATCTGCATGGAATATTGTGAAAAGGAAACTTTAGAGCTTTGTCTTCGAAATATAGTCTTTTTTATACTTTCATAACATTGATTTATAACATTATTCAGTCGCATCAGTATTCACACTTAATTATTCATTCAATTCATTTTTCATTTACTTGAGTTTACTAGATACTATCAATCACCTAGAATTTCTCAAGGAAAGAGAAGTTCTTGGGCTGTTATTTTTTCTTGAAATCTTGATTAAACATAACCTACATTGGTCCTGCAATTTCTTTATATATTAAAAATCGATTCATTCCAATAGTCATTCGGATCCTTCTTCCTACAGTCCTCAACCCATCTTTTTCTAATAATATAAAATGCATGCATCTCACAGTATTCAAATATTGCAATCAAAACCGTTTTTTCGGAATAAACTAAGAACTTATGTGTTACTTTCCTGCAAAATAGCTACGCAAAATGTTCAGTTCATTTTTAGCTGGTTTACTCCATTCATGTACCTTCCCACAAAGCCAATCTCGATGATTCAGTAGCTATTTCATGTTTGTATGGAGTATCCCAAGATGTAGGTGAATTGTTGGGAAAGTATGGCGTTAATGTATTCTTTTCTCGAGAATTATCTGTGTTTGTGCTTTACAGTAAATCTGAGTACAATCCATGATTACTAACCAAAAACGTATAGTCTTGTTTATTCAGTGTAGCATTTGCGAACAGATCTACACTATGAAGATTGCCCGATAATTGAAGGCTCGAATCGGTGAGCACAGATGGACTCTGGCGGAACAGTTATCCAAAACGCTGTAGTGTCGTTGTCCATGCCTCAGAACATGTTTACGGTCTTGTGGTAAAATACAGTTTAGTGACAGACCACGAAGATAATAAATCTAAGTTAGAGATCAAAGAATGGCCGCATATCTCCGCTAATAGCGACAAGCCATGCGATAGTAGTGTAGCTTCTTTTCATGTTGTTAAAGGTTGGGGCTTGACTGTATTCGCTTATTGAAGCTACTTGAGTCTCAGTATATACCGTAACTGTGTTTTTTAGCTTTCCGATCTGTAAGAAGGCTGCTGTTCTGTAACGGGCGCGTTAACAAGGGCATCTGGTTACGTTGCCACAGCCTTTTTCTTGCTGGCGATAATAATTGAATCGGTATCTTGGAAAAATCTAGTTTTTATCAAGGAAATTCAGAAAATGCATATTAACGCATTCAGAAGCATAGCGAAAACCGTTTTTTTAATAGCACATAAGGAAGTATTAATCAGTGTGATTAACTGATGCAATAAATTAGGCCTTAGTGTAATAAAATATAATATAATAGTAGTCCTTACCTGCAGACTTTCTTCAGACTATGGTGAAGTTTGCATTGGTCAAAGTAGATGTTGTGGTTCGAGCCAAAAAACATTCGGCACTAGTTAAATTTGTCATCAAGTACGTTTAATTAATAGGGAAATGCTGTGCTATTATATTTATTTATTTTTTTGTTAAATGTTCAAAGGAAAAGGCGGTTTGTAATCGTCACTATGTTTTGTCCTTTTATTCTGATTGGCCGCCATCTGTTGTACCGTAACCATTTATCGTGGAGCTTGTGGTGCAGCACTGATCACTGTTTCTGTTTCATCAAGCTTGAGTGCTTTGTTGTTTTTGCCTTTTCAGGCTGTTTGTACCTCTAGATAACCACTATAGCGTGTGGTCTGTTTCTTTCCCACGAAGTGGTACTCATTTGTCTGCCTCAAGAGGATGGTGGGTTAGTGATCAGACAGACGATCTCTCGACTGTGAGTCCGACACAACCAGCGGAGTAAACCTAAAACTCAAGCGACGGAGTAGCCCTGGTCCTGAACAGGGTAGTTGGCGTAGAATGCAGTTTAGCAGTTGCATAGTTCTGCTGTGAACAGGCGCCTGCTTGTAAATAATTGATATGACAGATTTCTACATGCAGAGTTCTTTTGCCGACCGATTGCACAAAGGCAACCACTACCCTCATATTTTGTGTCGACAATGCCAAAAATGTTTGCAGTAAGCAACCCGTTAGTGCCTCGTTAGTTGGCTGAATGTTTCAGAGTGCTTGATGGACCTTCGCCGGTGCGTTAGTGGATAAATGAGGAAGCACTCTTTGCTTTCTTTCAATCAGTCTTTCCTTTATTTTGATCCTTGCTTTATCTTTAGTAGCTAGGGTCATTGGATTTTTTCTTTTTTGGTTTTTTTGCGGATCTAATCACCAAAAATGCCGACATATTCTTACATTAGAGCATCAGTCTCACAAGTACTGGGTTGTTACTCGAGTGAATAGGTGTTTTTGATTAATTTTATAAACTATTAAATGGCCTAGAAAATTAAGCGAAGCCGTTTATAGTAAATACCTTTTTGGATAAGAGTAACGAGTTAGCCTTCATAAAAGTAAATGACTTTCATTTGAATGATCTCTATTCCAGGACTCAAAGTTTCGTTTCAGGCATTCGTTTTAGATATTTTGATATTAGAATTCTAACTCTTTATTATATTGTTTGTTTTTCATCTTGTTATTCATATGATTTATTGGAATATTATTTTCAAATTTAATATATTTTGAGTGTTACCGTCCACTGTTTTGTTTTAGATATCAAATTCTTGGCAGCAAGTCTTAGCTGCTTGCAGTGATGACAAGCAAGCGGAAAAACTTAAAAAACTGATCGGACTGAAAGAGCAATCTCATACGGATAGCGGTAAAGGAGATGCTTCTGGTCAGGGTGGCTCATCGT